TATTTATGTAACTTTATGTGCACACATAATAAAAGGATATTGGGAAGGGTATCTGATGCATATTGATGCCTAATGTGCACCAGGATGTGCATTAGTTTGTGCATTGATCCCATTGTGCATTGGTCTCATTGTCCATCAGTCACTTTGCTGGCTCTGCTATGTAGTAATGTAATAGCAGCTCTCTAATGGATATGAATATTATGGAACAGCACAGTTTTAATGTTGGCATATGCGAGTTCATTAGGAAGCCGTTAAGACCCCAAGAGGATTTCAGCCTTTACTTTCAAACCCTGTAAGATCCAGTATGTTTGTTACATTTGATCCAAATTACCACAACACTTTAAAACCTCACCCATTCCTGGGCATAATTTATATTCCTGCTGCCTCCGTTCTGTGGCTGTGTAGTTAAATAATAGAATCGTATTAACTCCTCTGAGCTGGCACTTGGAGCCTGAGCCAAGTCACGACAATACTGTGACTTGTTCTAATGGTTCATTGTGTTTTGCTAACAATCTTTATTTCTAGAATTCTTTCAAAAGTAAATGCAACATTTAGTATTTCCTGTGGGCGTTACTGGCACCTGCTCGCAACTGACAGAGAACAAGGCATTTGGCTTCAACAGAAAAGAACACTGATGTATACAGATGGAATCAGGGTCAGACATGGCTCATCCTTATGCTGAGTGGGCCCAGAGTTTGGAAAAGTGACTTTCTTGAACTATAGCTTTCAGAATCCTTCTGCCAGAATAATCTGTGATTATTCTGGGAACTATGGCTGCTCTTTCTTCCTTGTCTCTGCAGTGGAGGCCAGACAGGGCAAAAGAGCCCTTATCTGGACAAATAATGGGCAATTAATGTATGGACTAGTACAGTGAACTCTTGGACAATCTGCCCTTGTGCAGTTGAGGGAGAAGGAACATCTTTCTGGATCTGTTATAGATATTTTTTCTGTGTCTGGAAGGGTGAATGCTACTTACACCCCCAGATACACAATGATAGCCCAAATGTAGCTCATAGATACTTCAATGATGCTTTAGCACAGTTCTGATTCTGGTTTCTAACCCTTTACAGGAGTACATCCTGTCATTGTCAAATTGCATTAATTCTACAGTGTAGATGTACCCTAAGAAAATTCCAGTCTAAACCTTCAATTAAATATGATTAGATTCATCATTTTTCAGCTGTGATGCTTACTAAAAGATACAGATTCAATGCTGCGAGCATAGCTGTTAATGGGTCCTACTTGCGGATGTGAGTACCTTTTGGATTAGTGAATAAAAACACATGACCTGTGCGTTTGACAGCTCCCACAGCTCAATTAGGCAATTGACAGAAAGATGATTTATTTGAAATTAAATCCATGGAAATGTGTTACTACTTGTTCTGGACTAGATCAAGCCTAATAAAATAACCACTTCTCATCAACATTGAGTTTGTCGAGAAACGTGATGAACTTCAAACAGTCCTTCATTTGGAAGTTGCTAAGATTAGCCTCCAAATGTTTTGCTATTAAAAATAAAACAGCTGAGCCATGTGGAGTATGTGCATGTGCCAATGCATCTGAATGCATTCTCTGGCATATTAGCTAGCTACCTCTACCTATGTGGTATGATCTGCAAAAGAGACATGCTTAACTTCTGTTCCACCATTCAAGTAATTTATGAAGATGTTGAACAACACCTTTCAAATCCCTGTTGGATATAATTTAGAGGTTGGATCTAAACTACGAATGGAAAAATATAGTCATTTTTTAAATAAGAGAGATTGTCTGAGAACACTGACACAGCACATAGGTTTGGGGATGGAGTTGGATCAACTTCTAGATCGGTGGTTCTCAATCTGTGGGTCTCCATATGTTTTGGCCTTCAACTCCCAGAAATCCCAACAGCTGGTAAACTGGCTGGGATTTCTGGGAGTTATAGGCCAAAACACCTGGGGACTCACAGGTTGAGAACCACTGATCTATATTGCCCCCCTACACTGCCTTTAAGCAAAAGGACCAGCTCTATTTTTCATCACTTTCAACTGCAGCAAAAACAGATTCTTTTTAATGAGGAAATAAGATCCCAGACTTTCCAGAAAAAAAATGTTATCTTGTGTTGAAAACCCTCAACAATACTTTCTTTTGCAAAAATAATTCCACAAATTATTTCAAAATGCTCAAAATAGCCTTTGAGAATTTGTTGAAAGGGAAAGGCACATTAGTTAGATATGAAATTGCTCGATATGCTGATTTCAAAAAATACTGAGAGTCATCATGTGTACTGGTTTCAGCATTTGAATCCATGCTCAGTCATGGAAACCCAGTGGGAGATTTGGGGCAAATGGCACTCTCTCAGACCCAAAGGAAGGCAAAGGGAAAATTTCCTTTGAACAAATCTTGCCAAGAAAACCCCATGACAGATTCACCTTAGGGTTACCATCCATCAGAAACAACTTGAAGGCATACAACAGAGAAAAACTGAATGAGAGCCCATGGTCTGACATGCTCAATGGGAAAGGGTTTCATGATGTATGGGTGCTTACTTCTTAAAGGTAAAATATTGAAAGTCAGCTGCAAACAATTCATCTTAGGGAGAAAAGTGAAAGGTTTTTAGAGAGTGGTTGGAGAAAGAACTTTAAGTTAAGCTGAGATTTAAAAGATACATTATTAAAGAAGTCAACAAACAAATAGCCAGTACTCGTAAGAGAAGGGCTCATCTATACATACAGTAATACAAAATCCAGAGTCAGTCTGGAGTGGTGATACTTTGAACCAGCCCTGAAGTGACTAAATTTTCCATGTCCAGCCCCCTGTAGAAGTGAGGTAGAGTCCAATCAGGCGGGAAACAGTTTGGCCATGCTGGGGCAGCTTACTTTTTCTGTCCCCGACACTGCTGTCAGACATTCACAGACCCTAGTAGAGGTTTTTGCTGTTGCCAGGCACCTTTGCTGACATACTCTTTCTCCCTAGTCATGTGGATGCCTTTGCTGATGTCCCAAGAGCTCTATCACCAACTGATGATGTGGGTGGGTGACACTTGAATGGTCCATCCCTTTTTTCCTGTCCTGATGGGTGCTGGAAAAGGGGATAGTGATGCTGGGACAAGTGGTCAGCAGGCCGGTTTGCTTTGGAGCCAGTCGTGTTGTCCACATTGACTCTGACATGCAAAGCTGCTCCTGAGTTTCACTGAAACTTTCTCAACTTTTCTTAACACTGGGTCAAACTGGGTTAATCTGATTTACTCTGTGTTAAGGATCAGAAATCAGTGGACATTGCTTGAACATCCAGGCTTGACTTCTGGTCCACTTTGAAGTAAAGGGGCTTGTATAAACAAGTCTCAAGAATAGTAAATGAACTTGCAGATGTAATCTCTGAGCCACTATCAGTCATTTTTGAAAATTCAAAGATTACAGGAGAGATTCTACCACATTGGAAGAGGGCAAAGGTTCTCCTCATCCTCACAAAGGGAGAAAAAAGAGAACCCGAGCAACTACCAAAAAAGTCTGTCTGAAATTGATATCAAGAAAGTTCCAGTCTGTGCACAGTTTTTTTTAAAAAAAACTTTGATTACTAGCATGGTTGTCCCAAAGCATGAATCAGCATGGCTTTCTGTAAAACAAGTTAGTCTTATCTCTATTTTCTGATAGAGTTGCAATCTTGGTAGAGCAGGAGAGAGCAGTGGATTTAGTATATCTTGATATCAGTAAGACTTTTGACAATGTCCCCCATGATATACTTGCAGGCAAGCTGAGAGACTGTGGGTTGGGCAGTGTTTACTATTAGTTATGTTCATAATTAATTGACTGACTGAACCCAGAGAGTGCTCACCAATAGTTATTCTTTATCCTGAAGAGAAGTGACTAGTGGGGTGCTCAGCATTCTGTTCTGGGCATGTTATTGTTCATCTTCATAAATCACTTCAATTAGAATTCGAAATTGACCTTGATGGATTGCAAAACTAGGCAAAGCTAGGCAAAACCAACAAAACATATTTCCGCAGGATAAATGTAGGTGTGGGCTGTAGGCAAGAAAAATAAAATGTACAAATGTAGGAACTCAAAGAAAGAAGGGAGCAAGCTTGTTTTCTGCTGCCCTGAAGACCAGGACACGGAGCAATGGCTTCAAACTATAAGAAAGGAGATTCCACCTGAACATTAGGGAGAACTTCCTGACTGTGAGAGTTGTTCAGCAGTGGAATTCTCTGCCCCAGAGTGTGTGGAGGAGGCTCCTTCTTTGGAGGCTTTTAAACAGAGGCTGGATGGCCATCTGTCAGAGGTGCTTTGAATGTGAATTTCCTGCTTTGTGGCAGGGGGTTGAACTGGATGGCCCACGAGGCCTCTTCCATCTCTATGATTCTATAATTCTAGGAAGTTTGATGTGAGGCTTGAAAGCAGTACATGTGAAAAAGTTCTAGGAGGTCTTAGTAGACCACAAGCTGAACATGAGACAATGTCTCTTTCTCCCATGCAACGCCTCTGAACACTGCTGCCTGCCTAAAATTTCATTCTCATTAGCTCTATTTATCAGTTCTGCTGTTTTCATCTTTCATCACCACTTTTTTCTCCTACTGCTTCTCTTCCTTTTCTTTATCAGATGCAAGCATTATTTTACAAGCTTTCATCCCATTCCCCATTCTCTCTTTTACATCTTTCTCCCACATTAAAGACAATCTCAAGTTCCCAGGCCCTTGGACCATAATACAGACCAATTGAAAAAGTGAGGTCTCTGAACTCAGGTCAAGGATATGACTCACTGGTATTCCTTGTCCTTTTATCATTATCAGAAGGCCAACTTCTTCGTGCATTTTCATGAAAGAGCTCAAGATGCTTCCCTTGAAATCCCTCTCCCCCACCCTTTTGCAATTGTACTCCATTTAACATGCTGAGTAACATTCTAGTATAATTATAGCACAGCTCATGCCTGCCCACGAAAATGTCACACAGAGAGACAAAAGAAGAACAAGAGGTGGAGATGCTTTCAACATTCCTCTGAAAGGGTTTGCTTTTCCTTATACATACCGTCAACTCCAGTGCTTCATTAAGGAGGCCATTGCGCTTACTGTGAAGGTAGGCGTTGGAACTGCCTGTCTTAACCACACGAATCCTGGCCAGCCGGGCTTTCTGTAAAAGGAAACAAAGTGGTGAGATGTGAGACTAGAATTCATTATCATCTTTTACATCTCATTCCACTGCTAACTCTGAAGAATGGTGTCTGGACCTTAGAGACTTACTGTGATAAATAGAGGAAGAGCACAGTCTTTAACACGATTATTCCATTGTTCTTCTGAACTCAATGGGACAACCTTTTGGCTGTGTATGTATATCACCATGTCTTAAAGATGCAAATACCTGTTACTTCTGGAAACAGAACCTAATAACTACACAAGGAGGCATTTTCAGAGAAATGATTGGTGGGAGGGAATGTTTCTTACCTATTTCATTCAACTTTTTGCTTTGCCATTGCAAAGCCATTCTTGCCATTCATCAGCCAGGGGCATATCCACACTGCACAATTATAATCGCTTCATACCAATTTAATTGTCATGACTTAATTACATAGAATCCTGGGTTTAGTAATTTTGGAATCTTTGTTAGATTGCTGTAGTGCAGGGAAATAGACTAACATTTTTCTAGCAGAGATTCCAACTCTGCCTGAAATCTACACATCCTAGAATCCTGTAGGATGGAGCTATAGTAATTAAAATGGTATCAAATGTATGTATTTATGCAATAGGGGTGTACCCCAAGATAGATCAACAGAGCCTTTACACAATATATTCTATGTTGGCTGATGATTCTTGTGACCTCACCAGATGTAGGTTTTCCCGTTTCTATAAATTTTTAACATTTTAAAGATAAAGTCCCCCAGAGCCCATCAAATGACACTTTCACCGGTTGCCCATGTGACTCCATCTTTAAAATGTTTTTTAACTGAGATTCTTAGAGTCAGGGAGCAATCGTCTTCAGAGCTTCTGATTCGTGCAGAAAAAACTAAAGTTGCTTATTTTAAGGTGGGATGGGAATGGACAGATTTCTAGTCTGTGATATTTTTTGTGTCATAAAACAGTAGGTGTTCCTGTAGGTGATCTTGAAATAAGCCTGGCTGGTTTTTTTTTTCCTCTAATCTTTCATCCTCTTGCATTAAACTTTTATGATAAATTTTAAAAAATAATGTATGCTTTAGGAATTGCACATTTTTTATATATTGCCAGTTTGGTGGAGCTATATTTTCTCCATTTTAGAGCTGGGATTTCCTAATTTTGAGATATAATTGGAAATACAGTGTTCCCTCACTTATCGCGGGTGTTCCGTTCCAGGACCACCTGCAAAAAATGAAAATCCATGAAGTAGGGATGCTATATATGTATATTGCATTCCGAGGGTGAGGCAGAAGTGAGGAGAGATTTAATGGCACCACACACATTTTTTTGCTAGCTATCTTTGATTTGCTTTACAAGCTCTCTTGATTGGCAGCCTCTCTCCCGAGGGGGAGGGTTAAACCCCTTTCTATACTCCATCATTGCCAGGAGGCAGGATTAGAATGCCACTGGGCAATGGCAACCATCCATAAACTGGGGGCAAAAAACCCGCAAAACAGCGAGTCCGCAAAAAGTGAATCACAAAGTAGTGAGGGAACACTGTACCAGTTATGCAAGATTTCAGACTTCCACAATTCTGAGGTTTCCCCTTATTTAATGAAAGAAAGTGGCATGGGCAGAGAATGCACTTCCCCGAGTGATAGCTCAGAAAGCAGAGGATTTCTGTACAATGGACGGAGCACATCACATGTGATGGTGGCAAATAAATGATCCATAGATTTATGCTCCTAATGGGATGAGGTCTTTGGAGTTGTAGTTTGAAAAATAACTTTTCAAAGCTTTGGACTGATCAGTGAGAAAAAAATCATGTGGGAGAGGGTTACAAAGCAACAAGGAAGAAGGAGGTTAAGTGCACTTCTCCCACATACAATCCCCCCTTCAAAAATGCCTTGCCAGTCCACGTATATATTTTTCAAAACACACTGTATGTTCTGAAGTAATGCAGTTGTTAAGTATACTATACATTAATATTTAACAAGAATTCTGTATAATCTGTTAAACTTTAGACACTTTAAAAAGCAAAGATAATAATCAGAAAACTGGAGCAAACCCCCCAGCTTTTTTAATCTAATAGAACAAGAGGTAAAGTTAAAATAAGGTTATTTTAATTTTAGGCAGCCAGTTGGAAAAAGTACAAGAATTGAAAACCTCAAGAGTTTGGGTTATTTTATATTTATATTCCATCCTACATAAAAAAGATATTAGGACCAGATAAAGACATCAAAGCAACCATTAAAAGTAGTTTAAAGCAAGGAGGAAATACTGAGGAGCTACAAAAGTTGTTATAATTGTGATTTCCAACATTCTCACAATGGACTATTTTGGCTAGGACTACTGGGATGTACAGTCCATCATCATCTGAAGGGCACAGAATTTGCATTCTTAGTTGAAAACAATTTAGGCTACTCTAAAAACAATTTAGAGCAATTTAAAACAATTGGAAGCATTTTAAAGTAATGTATGCAATATCAGAGCTTTACAACCTAGTCAGTGGGCTCCAATTCCCATGACTTGGAAGCTTTGGTGAAAAGCCATATTCCACCTTGGCAACAAAATGAACCCAGCTGCACACACCAAAACAGTTTCCAAGGGAATGGCATTCTAGAACTGGTTTGCCACAGCAATAACATTGCACAGAAGATAACATTTCAGCAGACACAGTTTGACCAGGTGGAATCTGCAGAATTCTCTACACAAGTATGAAAAGTTCAAAGGATTTTTCCTCTTTTGGATTTGGTAAGTGGATTTCCATTATGAATTTAGACGACTGAAAGCATCAAAAAAGTGGCAAAAACACAATGGGATCAATTGAAAGTTTCAATTGAATGATTATATATCTTTGAAAGGAGAAGGACCATGACTTCTTTGGAGTTGCACTGGGCACAAACAAACTTTATTGGTCTTTATTAGTGGGTTCTGAGGGGAGGGGATTATTATTTTGTTACATAGGGCAGATGGGCCTCCTTACTATCCAGTACTGTCATGCCAGCAACATCTTCGATTATTCTCTCCAGTGAAACTCAAAACTTGGGCCTCTATACTGGATCATTCAATTGTCATTGTTTTGTGTGTCTTCAGGTTGGTTTCAACCTGTGGCTACTCTATCATGAGTTTTCTTGGTAATATTTTTTCAGAGGTGGGGTTACATTTGTCTCCTTCTGAGGGTGAGAAATTTGCTTTTTAAAATTGGGGTTGTTTAATTGTTTAGATTATTTGAGAGCACTGCTCACTCATTCTACTGATCCAAGGAGTAGTCATTCCAATCTCTTGTTTTGTTCCCACAAACCAGTTCATAATTCAGTGGCAGAAAACATCAACTGCCATTTTAGTGAGCTTTCAGGAGGTAGCTGAAATAACACTATGGATTTAGGAACTGGCAGTGTGCTTTCAGGAATTGTCTGACTGCAAATGTTTGTGATCTTTAGTGAAATGTAACATTTCAAATTCAGTATCACCTTTTTGCCACAGAAACAGTACTAGTGTTGCCATAGCTACAAAGCATCTATATCCATGCGAATGGCAGACATGGAGCTCTTTTTGAAGAGAGGTCAGTGTGTGCTTTCCAAAAATAAAAACATTAGAGAAAAATACATTAAAAATGATATTGATCACAGGCAGATTTTTTTCTGTCACACAAATAATGTTAAGTAGACCTGTTTGTTTTTGTTCAAGAGATAAAAAGCAATCCTAGGGAAGGAAACAGGGTGGGAATCATCATATACAGTATCTTGTTTGAGGAGCTGTGTTACTAATCTACTTTAGGGCTTGTCTACACTGGCTCTTTACTGTGAAGTGGGTCATAAGTTGCTCCTGGATGTTCAAATGAAATCTAGGGACTTTCAGTCCAGGTTATGTCAGGTTAACTGGTTTAACTCCACATTAAGCAAGGTTGGGGAATGCTCTGGAATCTTGTTGAAACACCAAAGCAGCCCTGCACTCATGCAAATTGTGAACAGCATGACTGACTCCAAAGAGACTGGTCCACTGTTCATTTCGGCTGCCACTGCCACCATTTTTTCAGTAGCACAAGGAAAAAATTAGATGGATTGGGACTGTGTCACAGCCTCCTTCTCCCTGGCTGCATAAGCATCTTGCTGATGTCAGCTAAGATGCCCAGCAATGCCGGGGAGATGTCTCGGAGCTCTGAGGATATCTGCAGTGGCAAGAGAGATAGTAAAGGTAACAGTCAGGGCTGTAGCCAGAGGAGGAAAGGGGGGGGGGGTAAGGCGAAACCTGGTTTACACATTTCAGGGCAGGGTTGAACTTTTAACCCCCCCTCCGCCCGGCTACGGCCTTGGTAACAGTCTAGAGGAGCTGAACCAGTTTTGGCCTGTCTGCACCATCTAGACTTAGACTCTGTCCTGCTAAAACTGTGTGACAGACACAGAGTAGGTGGTCACCCTGAGCCAGTTTACTCTGTGTCCATCACACAGCAGTAGCAGGGCAGAGTCTAGATGTTGCAGACAGGCCAAAATTGGTTCAGTTCCTCTGGACTGTTACCTTACATTTCCTTTCTCTCTTGCCACTGCCAGATAGCCACAGAGCTCCAGATCTCCCAGGCATTTAGTGATACATGTAGATGAGCCCTTGGTGTGTCAATGCTAACTACGGCAGCAGCCCTTCAATAAAGTTTCCCTGGCATAAAGCTGAAAGTTTATTCAAGGACTTGCTTGCTTTTCTATTACCAAGGTTAAGTCTATTTGTCATTAGCATAACAAGTTTCATTTCATTTCTATGGACTATCTATCGAATCAGCTTTCTGGAAGTTGATTTTTTAACAGGCCACTTTGATCCTGATTTCTTAATGTTCTCCAGGACAGCCAAGAATGTACACTTGAGATCACTTTTCTGTGATGCAGTCTTGCATAGTTGTGACTAAACCATGCAACTGTGTGAGAGAGCAGGTGATAGGGGTGTTTTCTGACCTATGGTCAGCCTCACTCGTAGGACTGTTGCATCATTCATACACATTTGTAGTTACTCCCCAAAATGCCCAGTTGTCAACACAATTTATTTAGCAGA